AAAAAAAGAAAAAATTCCATGGCCGTTCTCGGCTTCCGTAAAATAGATAGGCCATAAATACGTGTTTCTTAATTAAATGTAACGTAAAGTGATTCCATATAAAGCTACAACAGGTCCCCTGGCTAAGGTCACTTTATGAGTTACCTTACACAACCTTTAATGTGTGTTACTAAAGAAGCCCAGTCATAAGGAAAGGCAAGATGACAAACAAGTTTTTCTTGATCTCCTGATCCCAACCTGTACCAACTGACAGACAGACAGACAGACAGACAGACAGACAGACAGACAGACAGAATTAATCCCCAAAAGGAAATTGGGTCGTCATAGCAGCCAGGTACATTTAAAAACAATAAACATACAATAGAATAAAATACTAAGGTAGAAAAGATAAAGAAGATAAATAGGTAGATAAGGTGCAAGGAACAATATTAATAGTTCCAGTATTGTGGAGTGGAGTGTTAGGGTGCAAAAGGTGATGGATAGATTTAGACAAGCTTAAAGCCAACAACAGACTCTGCCATCTTGTGCTTCTCCTCTCCAACCTCATGGAGTGATTGTTTAAAGTAGTATGACAAGTCACTGTTACTTTCTGTCCACTGGGGTAGTGCAAGGATCAGTGATGGTTTCCTTATTTTCTCAATATATGGCACCATATATGCCACCTCCCTTGGTCCAATAACTCACTCACATAGTTTCCGTTACCATTGCTATGCTGAAGAAATCTCTCTAAGACTGAACTCGTGGTGATCCCAGTCAGTCCTTCTGTTCAGCACATTATCCAGTGGTGACCTGGTCTCTGTTTTTCAAGCACTTGAGACCATTGCTTTGGTAGCAGTTCAGAACTATTGGTAATGAAACTAAATCACATCATAGTAAGTATGAAATAGCAGGAAGCTGCTTCATTTTACATATTTCCAAGTGTTTGTGGGCATTTAACTTTACAGATGAATGGATTTTACAGTCTGTGTAACTACCTTTTAACCATGTTATTTTTCATCCTAAATGTTTGATTTCAGGACAGACATATTCTGTGTCATATGTGGAGTGGGATTGTAAAATCCAGGAGAACTTTGAGAAGAAGTTCTACATTTCCCATGACCCCGAGGATTCTGAGGACAAACATCCAGAGCTGGTCCACAAAAGAGGCATTTACAAGGACAGTTTTGGAGCTTCCAGTCCCTGGTGTGACTACCAGCTCCGGCCTAACTTCCCCATTGCAATGGTGGTGGTAAGTACCCACAGACACTGTGAGTGCACATTTTGGTAGCTAAAGCAAAACTAAATTCACACAGGTGTGTGTGTGTGTGTGTGTGTGTGTGTGTAGGCTCCTGAGCTGTTCACCGTGGTAAAAGCCTGGGAGGCCCTGGGTATAGCTGAGAAGAAGCTGCTGGGGCCCTTGGGAATGAAGACCTTGGACCCTGAGTTAGTTGCTTGTTTGAGTATTGGGGGTTGATATCAACAGTGACTTGCAGGACTGTTTGGATTGGAAGTTTGGTGCTATAGCAAACTCAGAAATTGTGTTCACCTCTATATTCTTAGTCTGAGTCTCTACTAGAGTAGCTTTGCATGAGTCACTCTTCTGAAACATCCTTATTTACAAGATGTGTTCATTGGCTCTTGATCTAAGACATAATGTTCTCCTGCCTTGTTTATCTGCAGTGACATGGTGTACTGTGGAGTCTATGACAAAAACCTGGATAATAATAACTTCAACCAGGCTAAGGGCTTCAACTATCATCAAGGCCCAGTAAGCAGACATAAAATATTTCCCCTCCAACAGTAGATATTCTGGCTGCCATTTAGTAGCTTCTGACACCTCTTTTCTTTTGTTTCAGGAATGGTTGTGGCTTCTCGGCTACTTCCTGCGTGCCAAGCTTTACTTTGCCAAGAAAATAGGAAAGGAGACATATGACAAAACTGCTAACCTGGTGAAAAACATTCTGTCTCGTCACAATGTGCACTTGGAGAGGTATTAATTGACAATCATCATGTTGTTTCTGTTACTGATTACCTTATCTAACAGTAAATGCATGAGTAGGGTCATGAATGTGTACAGATAAAGAGGGAGAGGAAGAGAAGAGCATTGTTGTTATTATCTGAGGTTAAGGACTTGGCTTTGGACTTGTTGGTCTTGACTTTAGTGCAAAGACTTGAGACTTGCGAAGCAATGACTTGGTCCAACCTTGTGTTTGAACCAATCTGACACGTGTCCAATCAAGTTGCAGGGAAGAACCATGAAGAACGTTCAAAAATTATACCAAAAATAATTTTGTTTAGTTCTTTCTGTTGTTAAAATTGCATTACATTTGGTGAAGAGCTCATTATAATTTGTTCAGGACTCAAACTCATAGTTGAGTTGGGACTTGACATTGGACTTGCCTGTCTTGACATGGGACTTGACTTGGGACTTGAGTTTAAAGACTTGAGACGTACTTGTGACTTGTAAAACATTGCCTTGGTTCCACCATGTTTGTGATTATCTCTCAAATATCTTCCTCTAGGTCACATTGGAAGGGTCTCCCAGAACTGACAAATGAGAATGGCGAGCACTGCCCGTTTAGCTCTGAGAGCCAGGCCTCATCCATTGCAACTATCCTGGAGGTTTTGTATGATCTTTGACCCTACACCCCAAACAACACCATCAACAATGACCCACATGTGCCTACACAAATGTATATCCTACACTAAATCTAATTTCTAAGGATTCATAAATAAACAGCAATTTAATACATACAAATAATGTATGTGTTAACATGTGAATGGAGTTTACAGTAAGAGGAGCCAGAGCTTTTTCATATAATGGAAATGTTCCTGTACGTGGAGGACTAAAAAGAATGTCCCCTCAGGGGTGGAGAAGGGCTGAAGCATCCATCTTCCTTGATAACATCAAATTTTGCCCAATTAACCCATTGACAAGGTTACAAAACTTTTGGCCATTGTTGTTTGTTCAGAGGGTCCTGTTGAAGTTGTACCCTCACATACTGTTCATAACGTTTATGGGCTTCATTGCATCCTGGTTAAATATTACGCCAAGGATCCGAACCTACAGTATAACCAAATGGTACTGGAATTTTGATTGGTAGATTCAGAATATATAATATAAATTATATCCAACCCTGTAGTAAGAAAGACAGTCTAGTAACAGAAATATTTCCCTTGTCCCTGCAAAGCTGTTATGTGTTTTTCTATGGCATTACTAGCAATCATTTGTATGTTGATATATTGACATGTACCATTGGGTTCTTAAAGGGCTGAAGTTAAGACAAATAGTAGATACAGACAAGAAACATAAAGAGACAGGAGGAGTATGACACGCAGCAAAGGTGCCTGTCTGGAATCAAACAGGGAACGTGACAATTACAAGATATAGGCCACCAGAATGCCCCCATAAATGAGACAACATGCCTATTCTTGGGGGTTCAAGGGTATGACACCAAATAAAACAGAACATACACATGGGTGCATTCACAGTATGAAGCAAAAAGCAACTTAAAGAGTTTAAGTTAATTGTAGTTTCACCCGATCTTACAGAACAGCACACCACCTCTTGTCATAGATTCCCTAAGCGTGTGGAACTCTACTGGAGGGACGAACAGCATTCTTCCAAAACATATTCCCTGAGAGTGCCATCTAATACATCAGTCCAAAATCTCCCATAGGTGCTTAGTTAGTTTGAGATCTGGTGAATATGAAGAACTAGCATATGATTTTTAGCATTTTCATACCTTTTTTCCTTTAATTTGTCACCTGTCTGTATTTTAGGGTTAGATAAATGCTAAGGAAAGAACAATGTTCCGAGCCCCTCATTCATATATATATACACACCTATGATCAGAGTGGTTACTGTGGTTTGAGCCTTACGGATCAGTTGGACAAGTGGTTCTAAAACATGTCAAACTAAATGGGGACTCAAACTGACTGGTTAAGGGACTTTAATACCTTAGAGTTAAGCCTCTCACAGGAAGAAAGGGAGCATTTGTCTGAAGCTGTGCTATGTAACTGAACACATTCAACATTGTATTTTATGTAATAAATCAGAAATATTAAATTACAAGAGAGCTGTCTTTTTTACCATAATCAATGATATTTTAAAGGTAATTTTATCCACTGCAAAAGAAAACTAATCAAACAAGTTCAGCCATGTTTTGTCTTTATTAACAGTTGTTTTGATCCTGCCTGAACCTTCATCAAGACAAACTGACTGGTAATATCTTACTATACTACTAAACTATTATTAGCAAATGCAGAAAGAAGAAAATCTCAAAAAAAAAATATATATCTCATCATATCCGTCATCCAAGGTCTGATCAAAGACCCAAGCAAAGGACATTGGCATTAAAATGCAGATCACAACTTAATCGCCTGGGAAATGCTAATTACAAGAAATAGCTTACTTAAATGTTCAGTTGAACGGGAATGGGAATTATCTGCTTGGCCTTGAAGCCTGCGTTACAAGGTGGGAGCATGAAGTTTGAAAGATGTGTGTGTAAAAGGGGCAGTGGATTAAGGGGTGAATAAATTTATAAAAAAAAAAAAAAACAGGGGCCGACAACGCCACCTAGATTTTTAG